TGACTGAAAAATTTCATTTTTTCTGAAAAGGTGGTGTCTATTTACTTGTGACCACGCTGTGTATGTATTTGAACTTAGAATATGTGTATAAATAAAGTTTGTAGTTAACATTTTCTGAATGCTTGTGATTATGTTCAGATATTTATTAGCACAGAAATTATGTTTGGGTTAATAACTGTTTTTTTTTAAGAATTTGAATGTTTATTGTTTAACAGTACATGACAGAAGGAATATTAGTGAGAGAAATGATGGCTGATCCATTGTTGAGTTCTTATTCCGTGATTATGGTTGATGAAGTTCACGAACGAAGTGTTTACACTGATATTTTGTTGGGGCTTCTGAGGAAGATTGTTCGAAAAAGACCTGATTTACGGATTATAATTTCATCTGCCACTCTTGAAGCTGAAATACTGAGAGATTTTTTCAACACTAATGAATCAAAAAATAGGTAATCAAATGTTTATTTTGAGGCTTCTGTCTTGGTGAAATGATAAAGAAAGATATACTTAATGTGGTTAACATTTGTCATTGGCAGATCCAGAAATTAATTAACATTACATTAATTCACAAATAAGAAAGAAGTGTGATTTACATTTCCATACATAGTTATTGTCAGTTGAAGACATTGATATATAGATGCAAGTGTAAAGTCTCAAGTCAATATTGTTACAGTATTTAACTGGGAACACCCTATAATTTTACTGTTTGTATTCAGAATGAGGATACAAAGTCATTATCATGTTTTCAGAAGCTAATACAGTCACATATGTCTAATTATTATTCAGTAGCAAACCATATTTTCTGTCAAGAAGACCCAGGATCGAATCTTTATCACCACCAGCACAAAAAAAGTCCTTCTCAGGACTTCTCTAAATGTGACAACACAGTAGCAGCTGAAACATTGGATAAAAATAATTAGTATTTAGTTATAAGTAATAATAATAATGTATAAGGTGATTTTATATGTTACTAAAAACATGATAATGATGGATATCTAGTTGCCAGAACCTTACTGTAAGCACTTGACGACGTACGAATATGTTCCAGGTATAATGCTGAACTTATAAACAAAGAATGTATACACTAATAGAAAAATAGTAAACTTGTTTGATTAATGTTTTATGGAGATCGTACAGTCAGATACAAAACATAAAATCTGTGCGATTGCAACCAGTCAAACAAAAGTCACAAACCCAAATTTTGAACAAAGGATCCTGTTGTGATATTTAGTTCTTTACATCTGATACTTTCCGTCCCTAGTTTGTTGCTTGAATGTCAGTGTAGGCTAGAATTATTCAGCATAGGCATTGTAGATGTATATGCAGAACAAATGAAAATATTCTGCATCTGTGTTGTAGACAGACAATTTTAAATTCAGACTTAACAATGGTGATTTATTTCATGAGTAATGCATTCATTTTTACACTTTCCATTCACAGTCACTTGATGTGACTGACCTTGTAACCACAAAGTAGCCATCAGAGTTTTCATACTATAATTTTTAATATATTTTGTGTACCTTCACAACATTTGGCAGGTTTTCAGTAAGTATTACAAGTCTTTTGTACACGTAAAATCAGGTTTTTTAGTGCAGTATTTTTAGTAAACATTTGAATGAATGAAGTCAGAATGTTGACTGCTCCAAGTGCAAACTGATTTTCATGTAAAGATTAAAAATAATTTTCTTCATCTAAAAATTTTCAAAGTTTATTTGCATAACCTCTAAAAACTTCCTAAATATATATATCAAACTTTTATTTTACAGTAAAACTTTAAATTTTATTTGTTATCTTCTCTACCTTAATTGTGTGTAGACTTGGTTGATATGATTAATTTTTTACCCACCATAAAAAAGTACAAAATAAATCTAAATTACTCTTTTTTTTTTCTTTCTAGAATGACTGCAGATTGTAATATGAAACCACAATTGTTTATTCTAAATAGCTTACGGCTCATAACAATCTACGTCAGCTTGTACTTATGTTTTATTGCCCTTTGAACTGTGTTTTACTAATAATCCCATCACACAAGTTGTAAATGACTCAACGAACACATATATTACATTATTGAATGATGTAACTCATGAGCTACTCATGAACATGCTTCATAAAGAATTTTTATTGCTATTATTATTATTTCTTTCTTACCTAGTCTAACCTAATAAGTTTCTGATTTATATATTTTAGTTAATTTTATAACAGTAAGTAAAAAATATACACGAAAAACAAGAAATGTACTACCTACCTTTTACCTTTAGTTGTTGGTTGCCAATGAAATTTAAATCTACTTTTTTATGATAATGGTACTAGTACACTAATTTTTATTTGCTTAAATAATGCATCTAAGAGTACAAACAATGTCCTATAACTATTACAATTTAATTGTTTCTATGCACACATTTGACCTACTCATTGCAAGGTAGTTAATCTTGCTTGTGGTTCCACCATACAAAGATATAAGTATCTCTCATCCAATATCTGCTAGTTGTTTGGTTACAAATAATGATGTCCATGCACACAGTCTCTTAGATTTGTTTAGTGATGAAAGACTTTTGATTTACTGTGTCTAAATAATGTATTGGTTTTATCACAGCCAGTAACAGCAGGTGTAAACAGACTAAGCATCTAATTTAAGGAATCCTTCACGACTTTCATATGTGGTTCTTTTCCTTTCTAGTTTCAGTACACTCTAACATCATTTCTGTATTTGACTATGCTTGGTGCACAAGAAGAACCTCAGTTGTTATACCACATCTGCCTTGCCATGTACTGTGGTATGTCCGTTGTTGTGTAAGTGGTCCTCCAAGTACATTCACAAACCGTAATGTTTGTGATCCTTGTCAGACAGAAAGGCCATCGTACCCACTGACATGCCCATCCTTGCTAGATGAAGAGCTGTTTTTCCAATTTGTCGTATCAATTTTAAGATTTAATATGAGATGACCTTTGTTGTGCAAGTGATTCTCAAGTATGTTTACAAAACGTTGTTTATTATCCTTGTTAAACAGAAAGGCCATCTTACCACTCAACATGGGAGAGTTCTTGTTGAACATTGTAGCAACAGACATCTGCTGTTCCATGCTGAAAATCAGTCAGAAATTACTTTAGTGTGTCTAATAGCTCAGGATGTTTGGGGTCTTATTTTACGTGTTTATTCTGTCTATAGAATGCCACCTACAAAGCTTTGTTTGTAAGTTTATAAATAAAAAGTGATGGTAAGGATAGCCATAAGGGGTGGAGGATGCAATGAAACTTTATATAATTGTGATTTTAAAATATTTTAAAAGGTCTCTGATTTTTAATTTTTGACCCCTGAATTTTACTTTGTCTTGTTCCTGATTTTCTGTTTCTTTTGTTATCACTCAAGGTCTGCGGACACTGTAATACCTGTTTTTAACAAAGATAATCTTTATAACAGCATACCACTATCAAGGATATAGTTTCCTATATATAAATGTGCTAATAGTTATAGCCACAGCATCTACTGTTGTGGCTAGAGAAGCTTTTTCAGGCTTCCCCATGATTTGAGTTGCTGATCAAATTGGGCAGATGGTTCACACTTTATACTCAAAACAGTTTGAGGCTTCACTTTTATTTGTATCTACTAACAAAGATACAAGCAGTCTTCTGTCATGAGCTAAAACTGGTGTACTTGTACTGTTTCTCTTTGTAATGGATGACACTATAGGGATAAGAATATGAGATGAGATAAATGGGAGATGGTCTCTCTTTCTTTGAGCTTGGGGTTCAGTATATGAGAGGAGATGGTCTCTCTTTCTTTGAGCTTGGGGTTCAGTATATGAGAGGAGGTAGTCTCTCTTTCTTTGAGCTTGGTTGTGTATATTTGCTGATACATTATCCTGAATTTGTGAACCTTCACATACTTAAACAAAAATGGCAAATGTTGACAGTTGGATGACCAGATTATATCTGTTTGGATAACTCTGTACTGCTGTTTGTATCCTGAAGTTTCAAGAGCATACGATCTTCAACATTGGTGGTGTGTTGTATCTACCAAATATAGGTCAGTGGCAGAGAGTACTCTTGCCTGAACAGTCACTAGCAAACCACAAATCACTCCTGTCATCACAAATTGTCAGGGTACTTGTACGAAACTTTAGGATTCTGATGGGTATCACCTGATTTCTGGTATTTATTTCTTTTGAAATTGGACATTAACAACTGTTGAGTGTAGAAAATGACTGGTAGGATTTTGCTGTTAGGCCACTGCTTTGATTTTATTACTTTTTGTGTATAGATTAGACAATCTTTGTGAACTCATGATCAATGTTAAGAAGAAAGTATTCATGAACTTGATACCATTTATGTCTTGTAGTCAGAGTGAAATTATCTTCATCTCTACCATATGGCTTGTAACAAACAGCATTTCTAATCTATAGTAGTATCATTTATGACATCTGAATGAATCAAGACTGAAAGATGCACCAAAGTATTAAACAATATTAGTCTGTTAAATCACGTACGAAAAATGCAGGTCTTAGGAGATTGTGGTAATATTTTTATGTTTGAAACATATTTTCCATCAAGATATTTTTTATATTTTTATTATGTTTTAAACAAAATAGTCATCAGTTATATGAAACAAAAATTGGTTTTATGGGAATTAATTGGATGTCAAACTATATATATATATATATATATATATTATAGTATGTACGTCACTATTTAAAGTTTAATTAAGTAAGAAGAGGTAGGTAGTTGTTGGTCAG